TTTTTGTTTGTGTCTTTTGTTTTTTTGAGACAGGGTCCTATAGTTTAGGCTGGTCTTGATCTCACTATATAACCCAGGTTGGCCTTGAACTCTCAGCGATCCTCCTGCCTCAGCCTCTTGAGTGCTAGGATTACAAGCGTGCACCACCACATCCGGCTCCTCTTGAACACACTTACCCATCATTGCCACTTTCTGAAGCAGCTCTTGAAGTCCTTTTGTCACTCGGGAGCCGGGTCCTGACCCTTGAGAAAATTGGCCTTTGCTAGCCTCTTGGGTCTTTTGTGCCCTTGATGAAAGCATTTAGTAAAGACACATGGATGGCTGGGTAGAAGTACAGATAGAATGTAGTACAAAGTAGATACAGGGAGATTACAGATTCAAGTGGGGAAAATGGGCAGTGCCAGGAAGGCATCTGCCCCCTGACTGGGAGTCTGGCCATTGTGCACACAGGAGTTACCCCTGGGGTTCAGGGAACTAGGGAAATCATGATGTTTATTGGCATTTTTCTTAACATTTACTTTGAAATTGCAAAATGTCTTCTAATCCTTTTCAGATGGTCAGTGTTCTCTTGGGGGCATTAGTCATTAAGAAACTTAGGAAAGGTGTTTACAAAAGAAGTGCTTAATTTAAGCCAGTCTTAGGGACAGGGGATATAGCTCAGTGGCACAGTGCCTGCCTGGAAAGTTCAATTCCTGGTACCAAAACAAGACAAAACAAAACAAAAAACCAGGTCCCAGGCCAAGGCAGCAGGGTCTTTGAAGAAGTTTCTTTTCCTGGTGTCACTGGACCACTGGCTGTGGCAACCGGAAATGCCGTTTGAATGTTCTAGAAATACACGGCCTGTGTCTTTGGGTCTGAGGCCTAGTATATGATTATAAATGTGGTATACGTTGAGGTCTTTTGTTTTTTCTGGACTCCCCTTCTGTCCCTTAGGCCCGCTCATGTCTGCTTGCCTTAACACTTTTTCTTGAGTGTGTCTTTAGTTGTGCCATTGTGGGTGCCTTGATGTCCTGAAGGTAAAAATGTTTACCTTCTATGGTCATTTGAAGGTGCCAGATCTGATGAATTAGGTGGATGAGGACACACTGTAATGTTTGTTAAAAGGCAGCCTTTCCCTTGGATAGCACTCAGCATAAGCATTCACTGTATTTTTTATCATGTCTTATAAAGTCATGAAAGAGGACTTCCAGAACTGCTTCAGAAAATGGCAAGAGGGATGGGACGAGCATGTTCAAATCAAGGGGAGTATTTTGAAGCAGATTAATCCATTAATGCGTCTCTACTGTAATAAATTGTTTAATTTACACATTCGTGGTATTTTTTTTATCTCCTCTTGTATATCACTTTCATGTCTCATCTCCACCCAAGTCCCAGTGCGTTTCCTGAAACGGTGTTCGGGTATGTGTTTTCTAAACTTTTGTTCATTTGTTTTTTTCTGGTACTGGGAACCGAACTCACAACCTTGCGCTTGCCAGGCAGGCACTGTGCCACTGAGCTAAATCCCCAGCCTCGGGTATGTGTATCCTGAGTGGCATTTTCTGTTCAGTGACATGCTGTGCAGCTTTTAACCTGGTGCTATAATCAAGGAATCGCAACTCTGTTTATGAGGAAGAAGAATGACAGAGTGAAAGCACCAAATGAGAACTGTGAAACTACTATTTGGGTATTGGGTTACTCCCGACACGGAGGAGTAACACTTTAGTATATTCAGAGGATGAAAGATGAAACTGTTGTGGTGTCTGCTGCAGTGTTGGCTAATTCAGACAGTTAAACTGGTGGTGTCCTCGCCGTGGGTGGACCATCAATTTGGGTAGTTGTCCCTCTGTATCCCTGGGAATGGATGCTCATGTCCCTTATGTAAAATGACGTAGTATTTGCATAGAACCAACACATCCTCCTATATACTTGAACTCATCCTTAGATTACTTGTAATACGTAGTACAGTGTAAGTAGTATGTAAGAATTTATTGTGCCGTGTTGTAAGAAAAACAGTCTGTACATGGCAGTAGATGAAGTGTTCCTCCCAGGTAGCTTCAGTTTGAGGTAGATTGAGTCCCCAGTGTGGAACCCGTGGATATTGAGGGCTGATTGTATTTTATCTCCTCCTTTTTTCTCTAAATTGAGGAGGGGAAGTCACACACCAGCATCTCCCAAGGACTGAGCCTCTTTGGGGCTAAGTCACATATGCCAAACTCAACAAAAACTCATATGCACTGGGGAGCCCACTTAACAGTTTTTTTAAAGGAGCTCTCAGCTATGTCGCCCAGGCTGGCCTTCACCTTACAATCCTCCTGCCTTAGTCTCCTGAGTAGCTGGAATTACACACTTGTACCTCTGTGCCCAGGTTCATCATTTTTGGTGAATGATTACCAGCCAGACAGGCTGTCCCTGTCATGTGGCCTGGGGCCACATTCTTGCTTCCTAGGGCAAGGTCAACAAACTATAGCCATGGGCCAAGCATACTTCCTGTTTATGTAAGTTCTGAGATACAGTCATGTTCATTGCTTTACATGTTATCTCTAGGTACTTTTTTTTACCCCCTGGGTACTTTCGAGATACCGAGACAGGCTGGCCTGCGGAGCCACAGATATTTACTGTCAAGCCTTTTACAGAAGAGTTTTTACCAATCCTTACTTAGAGGAAGGCTTCCAGGGAGGCCTGAATGCAGCCAGGAGGCTGCTGGTTCACTCACCTTATAGTTCTTGTTGCATGTCCCTGTGGGCCCCTGGAGAGCTCCGGGCACACACATTTTCCTTCTTGGCTGTCTCTTGCCTGCCTCCCCATTGCTTCTTCATGCATTTGCATAGTTACCCCTTGTACTGTTTATCTCCCAGCCCTGGCGAACCCAGGTCGGGATGAGGGACCGTGGCACATTAACAGGTCGGCAGGGGAACTCAGTATCCACTGACTAGCCTGTTATGTGTATACTAAATCTTTTCCAGCCAAATCTGGGAGCATCTTACTCAGTTCACCCATCCATTGGCCTTGCAATGGAGCTAAAGAAACTTGAATTAGAGCTGGGCATGGAGCCGCACACCTGTAATCCCATCACCCCGGGAAGCCACGGCAAGAAGATCGCAAGTTCAAGCCCAGGCTGGGCCACTTGGCCAAACTCTGTCTCAAAATAAAAAAGGGGGTGGAGGGCTTGGGATATAGCTCAGTGGGAAATCCCTGGGTTGAATCCCTAGCATAGCAAAGGGAAAAAAGCAAAGAAGAAAGAAGGAAGGAAGGAAGGAAAGAGAGAGAGAGAGAAAGAGAGAAAGAGAGAAAGAGAGAAAGAAAGAAAGAAAGAAAGAAAGAAAGAAAGAAAGAAAGAAAGAAAGGAAATCTGAACTTAATTCAGGTGGGAAACATCCCACAGCAAAGGGCAGCACAGTGTGTTGGCCCAGGTGCGTGCCAGGCTTCGGGCTAAGGAGGACAAGAGCCCGAGGGGTGAATGCAGAGGTATCTGCAGTGAAGTGCAGTCTGAGGAGGGCAGCATCTGTGTCACTGAGAACTTGTAAGAAACACAGGCTCATCCTAACCAGATCCCCGGGGGAACTGGGTACACTCTGGGAAGCCCTGGTCTAAGGTGTGCTCATTTCTTTAAGCCTTGCTGCGCTGTTCAGAGTGCTAGGGACAGAGTGCTGGGTGCTTCCTCAGCTTGGAAGTGATCGTCCTTAGCTGGCTGAATGCTCCGTGAAGGCAGAGGCTTGCTTCCTGTCTCTCTTACTGAGTTCCCAGCGCCTAGCACACTGTCTGGCTGGGCAGGTGTCCAGGGGACTTTGGCTGTCAGGTGATGAATGAGTGGCTGGACACGTGCCGGCCTGCTTGCCTAGTGGCGCTGGAGGCAGAGGTCTCAAAGACTGTTCTCTCTCTTATCACAGACCCTTGCTTTACCTGTGTTTTTTGTCACCAGAGGGAATTGTTTTAGAATAACACAATCAGAGTACAGAAGAGGGTCTGCTCTTGTGTAATGCGAGGTGTCTAGGATCAGCCTCGTTCCTGCCTTTTGCACTTAAAAAATGTTCATTTAAAGTTTTAACATTGACTGGGCATGGTGGCGTGGTGCCTATAGTCCCAGCTGCTTGAAGGCTGAGGCAGGAGGATCATTTATTTGAACAGAAAAGTTCAAGATCCATCTTGAAAAAGAAACAAAGTTTCGGCATTAAAGTATAAAATAGGGCACACATGTTGTTAAGAATAAAGTCTTGAGGCACAGAGCCACATAGCAGAAAGTGCTGGGCCAGGAATTCTGAAGGCCTGGCTCCGATCTCTGGCCAACGTTGGCTCTACACAGACAAAGGGCAGGTCACCTGCTTTCTAACGTCCCCTTTTCTTTGAGGCAAGGCGACACTATTCCCCTTGCCTGTTGCATGGAGCATGTGTACAAGTTCTATGTTAATCAAAGCCTCGAATAAAAATTTAGTGCACCTATTAGCACAGTTCACACAGAAGCTTAAATTGCCCATTGACATTAATATTGAACATGTATTGAATGTTTATAGGCCTTATAACAATATCCATTAATTGTAATAAAGAGGCATGTACGAAGATCACCCTTAATCCCACTCACCAGTAAATTTTTATTAAATAACTACTATGAAAATTTTGTTTGCTTTTCACTTTTTTGCCCAGTTTGTATTACATGTGTATTTTTCTTATACACAGTTTATAGTACATGATAAAGTTTTGCCAACACAGTGAATTATGTTGATGAGTTGTATCTGCTGTATGTTGGGTTGTGACAAAAATTTTCAAAGGGCTAAAAGCACTTTCTGGACAAACCTTCCACTTGCAGAGAAGTTAGGGGGATAGGGACAGGGACAGTCGCTTTTGTCCACAGAGAAGAAGGGACAGCACAGCAAAAACACAACTCCTCTATGTCTTTGTGGTTTTCCTCGGCACGCTTCATCCTGTGTTTTTGGCACATTGACTGTGATGGTTATTTCGAGGGCGACAGTGTTCACCTGTTCGTGCTTTTTCATTGACTCTGCCGTGTGCTCCTCTGATGTCTGCAGTTGGACTCCACGGTACAGAATGCTCTGGAAAGTAGCTGCACTACTCAGCCTGGTCCTGGGCTCCGGCGCTCAGCCCACCAGTGTAGATGACGACCCCCAGGATGGCGGCAAGCACTGGGTGGTGATTGTCGCAGGCTCCAACGGCTGGTACAATTACAGGCACCAGGTAAGGAAATGACTCTTTTTCCCTTATGACACTGGCATCTGTAGACAACCCTGGATATTGTCAGTAGGAAAGATCTTCTGAGAAATCATTTACACACGGGTTAGGCTGGCAAGGATGTGAAGAAATTGGACCTCACATGTTATGAGGGGGCTTATCAAACTGTATGGCCATTTTGAGAAACCCTTTGGTAGCTCCTCTAAAATTCCTGTGAGGTCACCTTAGTCTAAGACAGGGTTTCTGAGCTGGGGCACTCTTGGCACTCGGGCCAGGTGACTGTTGCTGGGGCTGTTGAGCGTTGAGGGATGTCTGCAGCATCCTTGGTCTCTTAGGTAGCAGTGGCATCGCACAACTGTAACAACCCAAGATTCCTCCAGATGTTGCTGAGTGACATGGGGACAAGCATCATACGGGCTATACCGCTGGTCTGACATCTTCATTTATAGATAAGGAGACCGAGGCCTAGCGAGAGGAGGTGACCTGCCCAAGGCCATAGAGCAAGCAGAGGCAGATGGGACTGAAGCCCTGGGCTCTGGCATGTGCACACCAGACCCCTCTGCTCTCCGCAACGTGGCTGTCTGCTGTCCTCGCCCTTGTGCCCCCATTTACCTGTTTGAGGATCTGTCAGACCTGCCCCAAAGGGACTGTGAGGCAGCAGTTCCTCTCCTAGGAATATACCCAAGAGAAGTGAAAACATGTCCACACAGGTGCTTCACGACTGCTCATATCAGCGGTAGTCCTGACAGCGAAGAGAGGAAACGCCACCTGTGGCGGGGCTGCGTGCGGTAGCTCCGCCTCTCAGACCCTCTTTAAGAACGATTGGATGGAGGGTGGGTCCTGGGGAATTTTCTAGTAGCTACATTTTAAAAGCTAAAAGCACAGGGTGAATTAGTATCTTACTTAAACAAGTATGTCCAAGCTGTTATCATTTCAAGTGTAATCACTGCAAAGACTGATAGTGAGATAACTTGCATTCTTTTTGGTGCTAAGTCCCTGGAACCCAGTGTGTGATGCCCTCGAGCTGTATCTCTGGTCAGACTAGCCACGTTCCCAGTGCCATGGCCAGTGGCCCATGCTTGGATGGCTCAGGGACAGAGCCTGTGTCCCTGCGCCTGTTGGTGCTGTCTGTCACCTCAGAACTGGGGCAGGTACACTTTCCCACAGGATGTTTATTTTTATATCTGTTTCATATCTGTTAAACACAGAGGGGGCTGATTTAGCTGAAGTTATGACTCATTCCTTGAGTGATTTCTGTGTGTTAGCCAAACCGGAAATTTAACTTGATTAAAAAGTTGTTATCGTGGCAAAATGATCCCTGTCCTTTTAGTACCTAACCACCACTGCAAGAGAAGTCACCAGAGTCTCTGGCTGTTTGCCTCAGTCTTCCCTCCCTCCCCAACCATGAGGCAGCTAGTTAGTTTTAAGTCTCGTGAACACCCTGGTTCATTGGCGGCTGTGGTTTTTTTCAGCCTACTGTATAATAATATATTAGTTCAACATTATTAAGTAGAACTTATCCAATTACCCTTGGCTCTCAGAACCTTTTCTTTTATGGTGTTTATTGAATAAGAAAAAAGGGAATGGGGCAAATATAGTGGCCACAGACTAAACTCTTTGTCCCTAAATAGGAGAGGATGGTGGCATTGAGACCATGTAGAGATGAACTGTGTGCCGTGTCTTCCTGACCGCAGCCTGGGTCTCTGCTGGCCCGTGTCTACTCCCAGCCAGCCGCCAACATGTACTTCCTCAGCACCATAGGACCTGACATGCTGGTGGAGGTTTCCATCTTCCTTGGATTAATACGACACCCACTCCCAATGGTTTCTTTTGTTCAGGGAAGGTTAACATGCTGGGCACCGTCGTGGTTGTTGCCAAGCATTTTTCTCTGCTCTATGGTGGCTATTTTAGACTTATTTTATCTCGACCAAGTTAGATTTATATTTTGCACTCTGGACAGATAGCAGAGGGGGTGGGTTCTGGTGTGCCGGTAGGACATTCTGCCTCCAGGTACCTGATGGCAGGGTCCAGGGTCAGCAGACTGCTATATACTGGTGGCCTGGGGCCGGGGTGGGAAACAGGCAGACCTGGTGATGGTCTAGGGCCCAGCTAGGATAGGTCAGGGCCAGGAAGTAGGCACAGGCGCTTGGGAGGTGAGGTGTGATCCCAGGATGTACCCAGAGGAGCTGAGCAGTGGGAAGTGACCCAGGAGCAGAACTAAGAGGAAGTGTCTTCCCTTGGTCCTCGTGTGCCTGGCCCGAGGTGCTGATGATGCAGGGAACCCGTGCTGACCTCCTGCTGCCTCTGACTGAGCATGTAGCTTGTGTTATCTCAATCCTTAGCCATTTCAGGAGGATGGACGGGTCCTGGTGTGGGTGAAACTGACGTGCACAGAGGCTGAGTAACTCGGCTATAGTCACACAGCTGGTAAGAGGTGGAGCTGGGGTTTGAACTCAGGCAGTGTGGTGCCACAGTTCATGCTTTAAAAATAGTTCCTTTTCTCTTTTATTAAAAACCCCAACACATTCAAGTTTTTTTTTTAATGGGAAAATTAGAAAAAAGAAATGAGCGAAAAAAAAAGCAGTTATAAAAAAAAAAAAAGAAAAGCAGTTATTTATACTGCTCACATCAGCAGTTGCTGGCGTCACATAGTGGAATTGCAGCATGGTGGCTCCCTGGTGTGAAGACAGACTTGACACACTAGGCATTTACCTGAACACTTTTTGCCTGGACGCCCTGGATTTGCAGGGGGAGCGTGGGGTGTGGGTGGGTATAGGAGCTGTGGGACTGGTCGGCGGCCCGCAGCTCCCGAAGGCAGGTGTACATGTGCTCGAACCCACTGTGGAGAGAGGTGGGTTCCTGTGTGGTTCCCACAGGCCAGGTCCAGGTGCAGGGGAAGGGTTGGAGCGCAGAGGGCTTCACGGAGGACAGGCTTGAGGGTGGCATGAGGACGGCAGAAGCAGCGAAAGGGTGGAGCTTGGGCTGGGAGCAGCAAAGTCACAGTGAAGAAGTGGCCAACACGATAGGGCGCCTTCAAGTGCCCATGACTACAGAACACCTCAGTGGCTTGAAGACCAAGGAATGGGGAGACTTCCGGGTGGGCCAGTTAAGCACTTAAGCCCCATTGTCTGAAACTGAGGTCCTTCCCAGTTTTCCACACCCCCAGCATTGTATTGATGATGTGTCTTCCGATAAGCCCTCCTCATGGCCTTAAGATTGCTGCAGCAGCTCAGGTGTCGCAGCCTAGCAAACAAAACTCAAAAGAGGCGGGCTGTGTATCTTAATGCTCTGCTGTCGATCAGATTATAAACCCTTTTCTAGGACTTCACCCCGAGTCTGCCAGGCCAGAATTGCGTCACATGTTGTCACTGTTGAAATCAGCTCTGACTCAGGGAAGCTCTGACTCTGATAGAAAGGAAGATGACAAAAGGGCATGCAAGGACAGTGAGGGCTCCAGTTCCAGGAACTATGCTTGATCGGAGGGTGGAGGGGGTTAGGAGTGGGAGGGGGGCGCTGGAAAGTCTGAGGTGTGGGCATAGTGAGGTGTGCCAGGACCTGTGGACCACCCAACATATTTTCTTAACAGAATCCTTCACATAGAGCTGAACAGAGGAGTCCTACTGGCCCCCGCCTCACACGGCTCCACACTGTGCAGGGCCCTGCCTGGTCCCCGCCCCCATATCAGAGCCTCCCCACTGCTGTCTGCTCTTGAAGGACCAAGCAGTAAATATTTGAGGCTTCGTGGGCCGAGGCCGGTTGGAGGCTGGCGGACTGCGGTGAGGGAGGGGACAGACGAGCCAACTGTGTGGTCCTCCAACAGCTGTACTGTGTGCTGTTAGGGAGGACATGGCGTGAAGGCCTGAGCAGGGTGCTGGGCCCAGCCAGGGTGGGCGGGGCCGTTAGGAGGCAGCGCATGTCCGGAAAGAAGCGGCTTTGACTCGCACAGACTTTGAGCGTCCTGCTGTTCTCTGCCTACCTGCTGTGTTAGTGGGAGCACCACAGCTCTCGCTCTGGGGTGGGGGGGGGCTCAGCCAGGACCCTGCAAAGCCCCAGCCCTGGGCGTGGCCTCTGCATGCCCAGGACATGGGCGAGTTGAGAGAGGAGTTGTGTAGACCTGGGTGGGGAGGGGCCCCTCCCTGTGACTGGAATGGGCCTGCTGCAGGTGGCCTGTGCCCCGGTAGTTGCCTTGTCCAATGTTCAGTTGGCCATGTGGGCCAGGGACAGGGAGGGCAGCAGCTGCATGGGGAGTCATGGGATGCCTTAGGCAGAACTCCTATCACTAGCTCTGAAAGCCGCTGAGTCAAGGCAATCTCTGCCCTGCATTCCAGCCTTGCTCAATACCGCACTGGCATCGCCTCACGTGGACTTTCTGCTTTTTTTTTTTTTTTTTTTAATACAGAATGCTTCATGGATTTGCATGTCATCCTTGCACAGGGCTCGTGGTAATCTTTGCTGAGTGGCTCCGGTTTTAGTATACTCAGCAGCACAGGCTCTCTGCTTACGGGGAAAAATGCACATAGGTCATATGCGTCCACAGAAAGAACCTCAGATGGCCTTTTGTCACACTTTCCAAGTGGAAGCGGGCTGGACCTTCACTTCCACAGAGAAGCCCTACTCCAGCCCTCCTCCGTCAAGTGAACAGGGCAGCTGAGTATCCCCCAAGGGCCCTGGGGAGAGCCGCAGGCTGACTTGGAGACCCCAGTATGTGAGGAAGGGGCACAGGAGTGTTGGCGGGTGGACTGGGTTCACATCTTGCTGCCCACTTTAAAATGGGGATAAAAGCACCTGCCTGTCGAGGTGGCACTGAGGGCTCCCAGCAGTGCATGGACTGTGGGGAGGGCACCAGCGCAGCGGACCACAACACCTGGCTTAATGGTGTGTGATGCACTAAAGCGTACATAAGGCCCGATCTTTATTACCTTAAAGAGAAAGAAGGAAGGAAGGACAGAAAAAATCAGGTTGCCTAGTTCCATGGTAGCCTAGTTCCACGGTAGGCTAGTTCCATGGTAGCCTAGTTCCATGGTAGCCCTTCTACTGTACACAACAGAAGCAGCTGATGACACGCACCTCAGACCATGTCCCCGTCATTAAGCAATGCCTGACTTTGTAGAAAATACTTGGTGATGATTTAAAAACTATCTTTTTTAGACTTTGAGCCCCTCATCCTCTCCCTGGGCCTTTGCAACTCTATAATTTCTCTGTCGCCCCTTCCTGAATCCCTGTCCAGGTGCAGAGGCAGAATGTGAGCTGCGTTGCCTCCCCTCCCTTCCCCTCCTCCCCTCCCCTCCCTTCCCCTCCCTAAACTGCCCTTTCCATCTGTAAGAGGGGTGGTGACCTTCACCCCCAGGCTCTGTGAGAGGAAAAGAGATGGTGGGGGAGCCTTAGCCCAGGGCTGGATGCGGGACAAAAACCGAGGATGCGTTTGCTTTCCCGGTGAGTCACTCATCCTCCCGTCTAGCTCTGGAGGCCCTGGACCTGCCCGTTCCGCATTCAGCCCCTGCATGCTGAGCACCGTGACCCAAGGGCACTGGCTGTGCGTCTACAGAAGAAGCCAGCTCAGTGCTGACAGGGCTCACGGTGCTGAGCACCGTTGGGGATGCGATGTTTAGAGGCTGAGTCTACCCTGGGCAGGTGGCTGCTCGTCGTCCCTTCCTGCTCTTGCAGATCTTGTTCCAGGAAAGACAGAATTAGCGGCAGAGAAACTTACAGGCAGCATTTCCCCTTCTGTCCTCAAGTGATTTCCATGTCATGAAGAGCGGTGCAGGTCATCTGAAACAAGGAAACAGCATGCCTTACCCCTGCGTGGGCGGGGAGTTGTATAATGGAAGTTGTCCACAGCCCCTAATATTCCCTATTCTCTTATTTTTTTTTTTAACTGGAGGTTAAAAAAAATTTCTCATTCCAGTTCCTGAGCTGAACTTTTTTTGAGGGTGCAGGGTCTTTCTTTGTAGTCCAGGCTGGGCTGGAATTTGCCGTGTAGCTCAGAGTGGCCTCAAACTCCATCCCTCCTCCCTCGGCCTGCTGACCGCTGGGATTACAGATGTGTGCCACCACGCCTGACCTGAGGTGAACTTTTGAGTTTTCATTGTGTTTCCTGAACAGTGACGATAGCAGACCCAAAATTACTTGGACCAGAAAAGAATCCTGGGTGATGTGAAATTAGCTGCTAAGCTTTTTTTCTTTAACGATCTCTTACTAGTTATAGATAATTGCTTTTATTGTGGGACAAGGCCTTGCTACATAGCCAGGTTGGATTCCTGCCTCAGTCTCCCAAGTGGCTGAGTTGACAGGTGTGTGCCCTCATGTCCAGCAGCTGCTGACCTTGTGCTTATTTATTTGTTGAAGCAGGGTCTCACTGTGTAGTGCAGGCTGACTTTGAACTCACTATGTGGCCCAGGCTGGCCTCGAACTCACACCAGTGCTCCTGCCTCAGCTTCCCGAGTGCTGGGATTACAGAAGTGTGCCACTGCGCCCAGTAACTGCTAACCTTTTAACCTGTTGGCTCATCTTCATTCTTAATTGTTCTATTTTTGAGACCTACATCCAGAACTCCACACGGGCCTCCTCCCAGCAGTGGTGGCGCCCAAAACCTCACTAAATCCTTCCTTCCAGGCCGACGCGTGCCACGCCTACCAGATCATTCACAGAAATGGGATCCCCGATGAGCAGATTGTTGTGATGATGTATGACGACATTGCCAACTCCGAGGAGTAAGTAGGGAGCGCTTTGAACTTGGTGGCAAAGGACAATATTAAAAATAAAAAGTGGCACCCAGAGCAGTGGCCTGGCATAGAATAGACACAACCCGCCAGAGGAGAGGCATCAGGAATGCCCCAGATTAAGCATTGAACATAACTCAGGGATACCGTGGCAGGCTCCCTGCTGTGGTCCCCTGAAGGATGCTGCCCTTTAGCCCTCTACTGAGATCCCATTCCCTGCTCTCTCGAGGGATCCATTCTGAGTCTTCAGCCCTACGCCCTGGCGTGCAAGCCTTATTTTCTGTCCTTCCTCCACAAGGAGTTCTGCCCTGAGATCTCTTGGTGAGAGCTTGCCCCAGATGCTGTGTGGTGTCAGGCTCACTTCTGCTTCTGGCCCTGCCGTGCATTTCTAGAGCTCTGCCCCTCCCTGGTCCTGCCAAGAGTTCATAGGTTGTGGTGCCCTGAGATACCCCTGCTGCTAAAGCCACTGGCACATTGATGCCCGTGCAGGGGATGATGATAAATGTCTTCACCAAATGATAGTCGTTTACTGTTTTTTCACAGGCCTGGGACATATTTTGAAGAAAGATTTTAGAGATATGTCACATTTTGTATTTCAACTGTGTCCTTTCATTTTCAGAAACCCCACTCCAGGTGTTGTGATCAACAGGCCTGGCGGCTCGAATGTATATGAGGGAGTCCTGAAGGATTACACCGGAGATGTGAGTGGACTCCGGGGTTGGAGCCGGCAGGCTGTGTTTTCATTTCACTGAAGATTTTTCTTTCCTTCTTGTATTTCTAAAATCAGAACCTTGACAGACTGATTTCTAGTCAGTGTTTCAGGTTTATCTTAGGATTAGTGCTTCTGAAGTAAATGAGGAGAGGTTTTTTTTGTTTGTTTTTTGTTTCTTGGTGCTGGGATCGAACCCAGGACCTCAGGCATTCTAGGCAACTGGGCTCCCTCCCTAGTCCTATTTTTTGGAGACAAGGTCCCACTGTGTTGCCCAGGCTGGCCTCAAACCCTTGGGCTCAAGTGCTCCTCCTGCCTCAACCTCCTGAGCAGTCGGGACTGCAAGTGTGTGCCGTCAGGCACTGCTCAATGATGAGAATTTTGAAAGAAAACAGAAAAGGATAAAAGGGGGGGAGTGTTTCAAATAAATTGCAGTCCAATGATATTTACTTGCTAATCTTTGCATGTTTTATGACTGATATTTCAGTAGTAACCTGATTTTCTTGCTCTTAATCTGATTATAGATTATCTATGATTAGCTTTCTCAGCCCCAAACCAGGGCATAATATCTCAAGATTTTCCTAAAGATGGATTTTGTAAATTATTATTATTATTCTTTGTTTTGTTTTGTTTTGTTTTGTTTTGTTTTGTTTTTTAAGACAGGGTCTCACTATGTAGTTCAGGCTGGCCTGAAACTCACTGTATAGCCCAGACTGGCCTTGAACTCACAGGAAACCTCCTGCCTCAGCCTCCCGAGTGCTGGGATTACAAGCATGCGCTAGCATGCCTGGCATAATTGTTATTCTATATTGCCTACAGAAATGTTCATATTCCTCCAAATGATTGATACCATATAAAGTGACACATTTAATAATACCAAAATGAGCTCAGTCTCATGGTTTTCATAATCTGTTTAATTTAATCCTGATCTAGTTGTTGTAGTAAAGAAACATTTGTTTGAAGTTTAGCATTTCTTTCAGCTTTTGCTTCTTTTTTTTTTTTTCTTCTTCTGGTAGTAGGAATTGAACTCACGACCTTGCACTTGCCAGGCAGGCGCTTTGCCACTGAGCTAAATCCCCAGCTCTTTGGTTTTTTTGAGACAGGGTCTATTAGTGATCCTCCTGCCTCAGCCTCCCTAGTGCTTGGATTACAGTGTGTGTCATCACATCTGGCCCAATTTTTTGTTTTAAATTCAAATATAATCAAATTTAACGTAATATGTGTAATACAGTTGGTCCTATTTTAATGAGATTGTTACTATGTAGTTAATATGAGACAAGGTTTGGACTCTGGGGAATAGGATTTTTTTTGTCTTTTTTTTTTTTGAGATAGGGTCTTGCTATGCAGTTCAGGCTGGCCTTGAACTCACTTTGTAGCCAGGCTGGCCTCAAACTTGCAACAATCCTCCTGCCTCAGCCTTCCAGGTGCCACCACACCTGGCTGGTAATAGGATTTTTGATTGAACTTTTTTTTCCTTTTGTGTGTGTGTGTATTGCTTTTAATGATCAGGTATCAATTTTACAAAGTTCTCTGTAAGAGCAGTGAGTGCCCTTGGGATGCACCTTCTTAGGCAGCAAGCCGGATGCCCATCTGCCTCCCTCTGTGGCTCTGGAGTGCTCCCTCCTGCCGCTGCTTCTCCCTACTGTTGCACTTTGCTGTTCTCCACCAGATCTATAGTGATCAGGAGGAGTGGCAGGCTCTCCGAGTTACCCTCAGCCACAAACAAGGTGGCACTTGCACAGGTGTGTTCTCCGAGCTGTGTGACGCATGGCCTGGGCCTGCTGCAGGCTCTGGGAACTGCCGTGGTGGGACTGATGGTGGCCTCTGATTCTGCCTTCATTCCGTGCAGGATGTGACCCCAGAAAACTTCCTTGCGGTGCTGAGAGGCGACGCAGAAGCAGTGAAGGGCAAAGGGTCCGGAAAAGTCCTGAAGAGGTAACGTCCGGGGTGGGAAGCCCGGCACAGGATTTGAACTCGTTCCTTCTTCCTGTTCCGTTGTGAGAAGCTCCAGAAGGGGCTTCGCCCTGCTCACCCAGGACAGCTGCGCGGGGGTGATGTTTCCCTGGCTTCTCTTGACAGCCCATTTCTGTACTGAATTAACCCTGTCACCTCGGGTCCTTCAGTTTTTTTTTTCTTTTTTTCTTCTTTTTGGGGACAATACTAGGGATTGAACCCAGAGACTTTGCACCGAACTATATCTCCAGCCCTTTTGTTATTTTTTATTTTGTTTCTTTTTTTTGTTTTTTCTCCGGTACCTGGAACCGAACTCACGACCTTGTGCTTGCCAGGCAGGCGCTTTTTGCCGCTGAGCTAAATCCCCAGCCCCTTATTTTTTATTTTGAGACAGGTTCTTGTTATGTTGTCCAGAATGGTTTTGAACTTGTGATTCTCCTACTTTGGCCTCCCTCAGCCCCTAGACTGCCAAATGACAGGCTGTGCCACCACGCCTGGCTTTCCCTCGCTATTCTTAAATATTTCCTGTCACTTAAGCCACTGTTCTTTGCTGCCTTTGGAGCACTGGTCTGCCCATGACTGAGTATCGGGTTAAATAACCCTTAGTTATTGCAGGCTGATCAGGCCCGCAATCTCCTAAGCGGGTGGACAACAAAGGCTTAAATAAATGAGACAATAGAAATGATTTCAGGGCTCCAGGAGGGACTAACTCTCTTACAGCTTCGATATTCTCTGGGTTTAGCCAAAGACTTCTCTGGGCAGCCCGTATTTATTTGGTTTACAAACAAAGGAAGGGGATACTCAAGAAAATGCAGGAATCTGGCAGGACCTTGGGGAAATTTTCCCAAGTAGTAATTATGTCAGTCAGGAGAACTACCTTATCTTTAGGTTGGTATTTATTGTAGGAGTGTGGAGCCTGCAGTTGCAGTCTCCATGTGGTTAATTGGGGTTGGAGCCAGACGTCCTCAGCTGTGGCTGTCCTTGTCCTTTGAGGTGTCACAGCTTCACAGGCCAATACAGACCTTAGGGTGACCAGTAACCCATAGAGGTTTATTTACTTATTTATTTACTATGAGTCGACTGCCCATTTTCAGACAAGGTGCTTAAGCTTCAGACAACTCCCAAGTAAACATGAAAAGCCACTTGGTTAATGTTAAATCCCTCGTAGTAGTCTGCTTTATAGTGGTCTCCGTCAACAGAGGAAGCTCACTGAGGCAGGTGTGACGCCCTGCAGGGGCCGAGTTGCAGGCCCCCACTGTGCTCCAGGGGCCGGTCAGTCCAATGGGGAGGACAAACATTTACACTGAGGAAAACCAACCCCAGGGTTTGCCTCTCTGGTTGTGGGCCAGAGATTCTCATTGCTCCCTTTTTCCTTGGGTAGCATTTTCACAAGAAGCCGAAAGCATTAAGTAGCGTTTTCTTATAGGCAGAAAGGGAAGGAAGCCTGGGCACGAGCTGGACTTTTGTGACTTAGAGAGGAGAGGGACATCCCTGCACGTGACCCGAGTGTGCGCCCAGTGAGTCCCTCACTCTGCTCTCCAGATCCTACAAGGCTAGTGACAGGCTGCTGGTCAACGGTCTCCCGTCCTCTCCAGCCTCTGTACAACTCTGCGGCTCTAGACCAGGGCTCGTGAGAATAACCCTTGCAGATAGACAGAGGAGGCCACACCTCGGGCCCTGTGTTTCTCTTTGACCCTGGTTGGGCAACCATAATCCTCAAACTTCTTCTTAACTTTTTGATGACGGCAGCTTTTCAGAGAAATGGAAATAGAAATAGGAAGCTGTTGCCATCGGTCCTCATCCCCTCTCTTCTCTCTTGGCAGCGGTCCCCAAGATCATGTGTTCGTTTATTTCACTGACCACGGAGCACCTGGATTACTGGCTTTTCCTAATGACGATGTGAGTTTTACTTTGAACCGTGTGCGCGTGCCTGTGCGTGTGCGTGTGCGTGTGCATGCTGGGAAATCAACCTGCCAGGGCTTTACACGTGCTAGGCTGGTGCTCTACTGCTGAGCTATACCCCTGACCTTTTTTCTTACCATTTTAAAGACAAACTTGGAAAATAAAAAACAAAGCCTTGTGCTGAGATGACACCTGTGGTGTGTGTTTTCTGATGTCCCAACATAGGTTTGTATGTCCGGCAGTTGTGGTGGTGAGGGGTGGACATAGCAACTCGAAGTCTTATCAAGGACATCTCTTCTAGCTGGTGTCCCCTACATGTCACAGCAGTGGGAGGTGTCTTGGGTCAGGGTGTATCACATTAGACCCAACAGAGTTAGGGCTGGAGAAGCACATTTTCTTCCCTTTGTAATATGTGAAGAAGTTTCTTGAGCTGACATTCCAGGGATTTTACTGTTCACCATGGTTACTTTTTTTTGTTTAGTTTTGTGTTGTTTTGTTTTTTTTTTTTTTTCCGGTACTGGGAATTGAACTCATGACCTTGTGCTTGCCAGGCAGGCGCTGTGCCGCTGAGCTAAATTCCCAGTCCCCCACCATGGTTACTTGTAAGGATTGCAGGGAAAGAGTTTACAGAGTGTCTGTTGGTGGCCTATCCAGCCCGTTCACCTGGATGTGTTGTTCTGAGTGTTGACGTTCTTTCTTTGCAGCTCCACGTCAAGGACCTGAACAAGACCATCCGTTATATGTACGAGCACCAAATGTACCAGAAGGTAACAGCAGCTGGGGCCACCTTGCGGGAGGATGGAGGCGGCAGAGAGAGGAGAGCCCCAGTCATACCCTGGCTGCCTGAGTTTTCTGAAAAGGGTTCCTTCTAAGTAGCACTGACCCGTGGTGTCCTGTGATTGCAATGAATGTGTGTGATTCTAGGACCTCAGCTATTGGATCTGAATCACAGTGAGCTTGTTCACTAGTGTGGCCTCACCCTTGGGGTGGAGCTAGCAGTCTCCGGGAAGGGCTGCCACAGACAGGTCTGGGGACTGCACTGGAGATGGCTGTTCCTAATATTGTCCCCAGTTTGGGGCAGTTGGGGAGGAACACAGTGCTGTCCATATTGTTTTATTTCTGCGTTGGTCCTCTCTTCCCTCTGGCACCCTTTATAGAAGCTGTGGAGGGCAGGGTGTCCAAAATGATAACACAGAAAGATGGCCTCCCTGTGTGGGGTGGTCAGACTGTTTCCCTTAGCACCAGAGGGCCTCATGTTCCCTGCACTGTGTCAACTAGATCATTTTACCCTGCGAGTGATGAATGCACCGGACTCCTTGTCCAGTGGCTTCCATAGCCCTTGGCGACAGCCACTTTAGTCTCCCTAAAGCCACAGTGAGAGGCTGCAGCATGGCTGGCAGGAGCGGCGGGGCCCTGGAGCATTAGCAGGGCTGGGTGGGGCTCACCTGTCTCGTCTGCCCGGCAGATGGTGTTCTACATTGAAGCCTGTGAGTCCGGCTCCATGATGAACCACCTGCCCCACGACATCAACGGTAGGTGTGGGATCAGGGGCGATCAGTGGGCTTCAGACACTGCTGATGGGAAGCAAGTGCGCCACATAGCAGGGCCTCCCCGGGGCAGCCTAGTGTGTGGACATAGCTCTGTGTTGTAGCTCCGGCTTCCTTTGTTCCTTCAGGATTAGTAGTCAGGGAAGGAAGACGTGGAGTGAGCTTCTCGGTGCATTCCTGTGCAAAGTACTTTCGTCCAAAGCCATGTGGACTGTGAAACAGCATGGTCCTTTTCATGTGTCGGGCACCGACTCTCTGGTCTCAGGCAGGCAACTTCAGCTGACCTCAGTTGTCCCCATCTGTGAAATGACGGGAGAGAGGAAGAGATAGAAGTAGTGCCAGGAGCTGGAGGGTTATATTTTATATGATAATGTATACAGCAAAATTCAGAGTCCATGGCTCCTGGGCCTGACAGGGTAAACAGAGTAAATGGCACCTAGTCTAAAGCTTTAGTCCCACTGAGCATTTTTAAAATTAAATGAAGTTTATTATTGCTTTGCTTTTGGTGGTATTGGGATGGGACTGTGGACCCAGGGTCTCGCCCATGCTAGGCAAGCACATTACCTCTGAACTACGTCCTCAGCCCACCTCTGAATGTTTGTTGAATGTTAACTCTCTCTCTCTCTTTTTCTGGAAACCAAATTAGCTATATTTCAGCTTCTGAGCTGTTAAAAGTTGTCAACATTCTTCCAAAATAATAGGATATTCAAGCATGAGTATTTGCTGCCTTTTCTTTTTCTTTCTTTCTTTTTTTTTCTTTCTTTCTTTTTTTTTTTTTGGCAATGAACCCAGGGGCTCGTGCATGTTCTGTAGCACTGACCTATGTCCCTATTCCATTTTTTAAATTTAATTAATTAATTAACTAATTAATTTTTTTGTACTGGGAATCGAACTCAGGACCTTGCACCTGCCAGGAAGGCGCTTATGCCACTGAGCTAAATCCCTGGCTCCTATTCCTTTTATTTATTTATTTTTTTTTTAATTTTTATTTACTTATTACTGTAAAAAGACTGTCACTGGCTTCTTCTCTTTTCTTCCACATCTAATTTCAGATGCATTTTTGTGCTGGTGGACAAGGCTGGTCACAGTTGCACCCACCCATCCCCCCTCCCTGCCCAGTGCTCTGTAGGTGGCAGGCAGGCTGCAAGCTCACCAGGGGAGAAGGAAGGACCCCAGTGTGTAGTCCCAGCAGGGCACAGAGTGTGACTCAAAGATCCCTTTGATTCCTCATAGTTTATGCAACTACTGCCTCCAACCCCAGCGAGTCGTCCTATGCCTGCTACTATGACGAGAAGAGGTCCACGTATCTGGGTGACTGGTACAGTGTCAACTGGATGGAAGACTCAGACATGGTGAGCCCTTGGGGGACCCACCAGCCACCTGCAGTTTAATGGTCAGGCTCTGGTCCCTGCAGGCCCTCACGCTTTCCCTGTTGCAGGAGGATCTGAGCAAGGAGACACTCCACAAGCAGTACCAGCTGGTGAAGTCCCACACCAACACCAGCCACGTCATGCAGTATGGCAACAAGGTGAGTGGCCTCTCATGCACTCCCTGTTCCGTGAGCTCCAGGCAGACTCACCTGGAACCTTGGCTCTTGGTGAAGCAAAATGGATCCAGGTGAGGAGTGGCTGAGGAGGGACAGCTTTGCGTCGCATGGCCACTCCATCCTGGGGACCTTCTCAGGCTCAGGACCAGGCCTCCCTAGGTTCAAACGTGCAGACTGTTGGCAAATGATATGACTGCTCTGAGCCTGTTCCTCACCTGTCAGGATGCACACAGGGTTGGCGGGTGCATGAGAGAAGGCCGTGCCTGGAAACCCCAAGCCTGGCCTGGCTCACAGGTTATGGAGATGGAAGTGCCTCTTTCAGATCTCCTGGCATTGTGCTCTGTACCCCATGCCATGGACCTTCCTGGGTCCTGCCTTATTTTGAGCCGCAGGTCATTGCTTTCCCTTTTGGATAAATTAGAGAGGTTTTACCTGCCCCCACCTATGTCCAGAGGAGCCTGGGGTGGTCAGGTATCTGAGTCCATAAGGGCTGCCTGACTGGGGCTGCTGTGGCCTTAGCAGTGCCCATGGGCAGCACCACAGTGCGTGCATGCGTGTGGAAGACTGGCCTGGCACACCTGGTTCTGCGTTCCATGGCAGCTACTACCATCTGAGTGCTCGATGCAGGGCCTGGCAGTGTGTTTGAGTGGGTGTGGAAAAGAACAGGGTGGGGAAGTCCCGCAGGGCAGGTATTTCCCTGGTCCTGTGGCTTCTGCGTGGGGATTCTCTTTCTCCTGCAGCACCTCAGCGCTGGCGTATTTGGTGTCAGGAGCTGTGACAGATCTTTTTGAAATCTTGTGTTTGTGTATATTTGTGTCATTTTAGTTTTAGTTTTAGAACTGTTTTTAGAGGATTGTTGCTTGGTTGGGGGATGAAAAGGCATGCAGCATTTGTCTCCCACTGGCCAGAGAGTCTGTGCTAAGCTGTGAGGCACGCAGGGCCCGAAGCTGAGTGCCAGCCGGCCAGTGTGTGCCCTAGCTCTGCCATTCTTCCAGGGCCCAGACCTTAGTTAGCTCCAACCTGGACACAAGCGTGGCACTTCCGGCTGCAGGTCCATTCCTCACATCTGGTCCTCCGCTCTGACCCGATGTTTCCGTCTGTCTTTCCAGTCGATCTCGGCCATGAAAGTGATCCAGTTTCAAGGAGTAAAGCACAAAGCTAGTGCCCCGGTCGCTCTGCCTCCAGTCACACACCTTGACCTCATTCCGAGCCCGGAGGTGCCCCTGGATATCATGAAAAGGCAACTGATGAGCAGCAATGACTGGAACAAGTCCAAGACTCTCATTAAACAGATCCAGCGACATCTGGATGTAAGTAGTGTTCAAAAGGACCCTTTGCAGGGCTGTGCCCAGCCGAGGTGGGCGTGTGCATGAGTAAGGGCCCTGCCTGCTGTTGACCGGTACCCAGTGTTGCTCAGAGCCTGCTGGCAGAACTGGTAGAGCTGAGGAAAGAAGGCTTCTGGAGCGTGGGAGAGCTCTCGGGGGCCCCGTGGCTCTGGGCCACATACTGGTCAACTTACAGTGGACCGTGTGTGCACCTGTGCAGTTTAGATCTCCTGGCATTGTGCTCTGCACCCCACGCCATGGACCTTGTGCCCATTTCTATGGGATGCTTGGATCCTGACAGAGGAAAGTGGTCACACTCACCCAAAAGACACAAACTCCACTGGAGAGGGGCGAGCCAGAGACTTGGTTGGGAAGTCAGTGTGGAGCAGTGTCCTTGTCAGGAGGCTGTTTTTCATCTGGGAGGAAAGTGAAGCCCCTTTGTGCCCCCTGTCTAACCACTGATGGTTTCCTGAGCCGGCAGGAAACACGCAGAACCATTCATAGGGCGGCAATCTGCCCTGGGCTCGAGTTCTACAGTTTGTTTCGGGTATTAGCTGTAAACATTTCCACTGTGCTAGGCGATCCTAGAAGGCAAGGTATCACAGCTGCCGCAGAAGCCTTGCACACACTTTTGCCTTCTTCAGGACACATTGGTTGGCGTCTCTTAATCCCCGAGGCGCGGCGGGAAGACAAGTCTTTAAGCGTGCGTCTAAGTGCTCCATGGGTCCCGGAAGCTACATTGACTGCACTACATCTTGAAAAGCTGTTTCTCCACAGGTTCGGCACATCATTGAGAAGTCCGTACGCAAGATCGTCTTCCTGCTGGCGGGGACTGAGGCTGTGACCGAGACGCTTCTGTCCGAGAGAGCCCCGCTCATGGAGCACGACTGCTACAAGGAGGCTGTGACGCACTTCCGCACACACTGCTTCAACTGGCACTCGTCCACGGTGAGGGGGAGCGATGCTGCACCTGAGTCCTAAGGCTAACCTCAGAGCCTCTGGGGGCTCCCTCTGTGCTGTGGAAACAGTGGGCTCACTTCAGGGGTCCTCACTGGAGCTGAGAGGAATATGGATGCCCAAGTTTATGGCTAAACCTTGCCCCAGAGCAGTGGGTGGGAGAGTTCCCCAGAGTCACAGATGACAACTCCCATTAACACTGGCTTTCAGGGACGCCTAGTTCTTCGCACACTGCTGCAGTCCCCCAGGCCCCCCATCTCCCGTCAGCCCCATGTGTGCTCTCCCAGCTGGTCCCCCGTGAGTCCTCCCTGCCGTGTGTGCTTGAAGTCAGTGGAGGAGGAGGGAGAAGGAAGTTTCCGCAGAAGGTAGAGTTGACAGGTGTCTGGAGAGCCTGGTGCCCATTTCTATGGGATGCCTGGATCCCGCTGGAGGAAGGTGGGCACGCTGCGGCCTGCAGACTAAACCCTGTCCAAACCCTCTTCTTCCCCCTTCGCCGGATTTTATAATACCAGGTTTCACAGGGACACAGGCACGCTCTGCTCAGGGGTCTCTTGTCTAGGGCTGCTTTCACACTGTGGCAGGCTAGACGACTGCAGTGACGGTGCTTCACCCTGGTCTTGCCTTCTGTCAAGAATTATTTAACATGAGTCTTCTTCCCTGTGGGTGTTCCCAAGCTTCCCTGAAATTCTCTTAAGATAAACATCACTGGTTATTTTAGTCCTATGCGGCGGAGTGGTCCAGCTTGGCAATCACATACTGCCCACCTCCCTCCTCCATGTGCCTGTCCAGAACGAGGTTTCCAAAACGAATGAAGAGTTCTGGGGGAGGTGGGAAGTTCGGACTGAGACACGAGAGCAGGCTGTGTGTAGACTCTTGCGTGTGTTCATCTTTCTCGGGAGAGGCCCTGCAAGTATCACCAGATTATCAGAAGGAAGAGAGGATCTGTGAGCCCCCAGCTGAAAGCTTTGTCCCTGTGACTGCAGAAGGAGAGCTGTCCCAGGTTTACTGCAGGGTAAGCAGAGATGTTTGAGTGTCCTTTGCTTTCTTCCAGTACGAGTATGCCCTGAGACACTTGTACGTCCTGGCCAACCTGTGTGAGAAGAAGTATCTGATCGACAGGTAAGACAGCACTAACCTTTGAATGGCCGGTGTCTTTCTGGAGGTAGAAGGGAGCGCGCTGCTGTCATTTGTGCAAGTGAGACACTATGAACAGAATGCGAGACAGCTGCGTTCTTGGTGACGCTGTTGGGCAGATCCGTCCTCAGTGACGGCTGCCGCTGGGATTGTGTTTATCTTCCTACTCACCAAGTTCTCCTTCCTGTCTCCAACAGGATAAAGTCGTCCATGGACGAGGTGTGCCTTGATTACTACTGAACAGCTACCTTCTCGATGATTCTCCAGGTGTGACACTGTCCCTTAAAATGTGCTATCCAGAAGCTGCGGAGATGGGACCAGTGGGAAGCTGGGCAGCTCGGGCCCACTGGGGAATGCGGTCAGGCTGCTCGGCTTCACCCAGGCCTCTTTCACAAGATGCTGGCCCTCCTTTCCTACCCAGTCTCCAGGGTGCGTGTGAAGCCCTGAAGAAGCCACAGTTGAGTGAACAGAGCTCTGTTGAGAAAGACCTGTTGGCTTTTTAAGAGCTTTTTTTGCCCACTAGTTTTCAAGAGCAAGAGGTCCCCTGGGGCTTCTGTAGCCGGTGAGGAGATCTTTGTTCTAAGAAATTTGAAGCTGAAACCTTTTCAAAGTCTTCAGGTGATTTTATTGAAGAGGGCTGTAAGCTCTCAAATGGAAATTTATTTTTAAATAATATTACAATTTTGATTGCTTTTATATTTTATTCTGCAATAACGGACAAGTCTTAAGAAAATAAAGATTTATAATTGGAATCAACTACTCATTTCTGGTCCCTGACTTTGTCATTTATTCTCCTGGCCCCGCCCAGGGGTGCCCACATCTCCTGTTCTTTCCGGCTTCGTGCTTTTCCCTCCTTCTGTTGGCATCTGAAGTTTTGCACTCTGGCTTTTTAGCCTCCTGCGCCCTCACCCCTTGCTGCCTGTCTTTCCCTGGAACACCTTTCTCTGCATCTGCACAGACCTGGGGCTGTCCTGACAGCGCCCCCATCCCTTGAAGTTTCTCTGTTCCAACTCGGCACAGTGTCCACCTCCTCGTTCTGAAGTCCGTGCATCTCTGACCACAAGGTCCGGCCAGCTGACACCAGATGCGGGCACTCAGTCTGTCTCTTTCCCCAGCGCAGCGCACCCCACACACCAGTGGGTTTGTTAAAGACGTGTGACGGTCACACTACCGGTAGCCAATGCAGTATTGTGCAGCAATAAAAAAAGGAATGGAGAGCATATACTTGCTATAGCATTAAGCCAATGGAAAGAAGCCGCATGGATTATATGGTTCTATTTATATAAGATGTGCAGAATGGGGAAATCTGCAGAGACAGGGTAGGTCAGTGGGCCCAGGGACTAGGGACAGAGGGGACTGGGGAGGGAACTGCTGCTGGGTATCACATCTCTTTTGAGGGTGATGAAAGTATTATAAAACTGGCCAGGGTTGTACAACTATGGGTGCACAACCAACCCCTTAAACAACACATAGTTGAACTGCATAGGTTTATACACAGATTTGTTTTTGGAGATTTGAGAGAATTTAAAAATACAGATGACTCATGTAGCCTAGAAATGTCCAAAAATTAATACATACAATACATATATGTATACTTTGTCGTCATTATAAAATAGAAATCTATTATAAAAAGTTAAAATTTATCTATTACGGTAAGTGTTTAATGTTAAATATCCACCATGACATTGGGATGCAGAGTAGTTTCACTGGCCTAAAAGTCCTCTCTGTTTCAGCTACTCAACCTTGCCTTCACCCCGAGCCCCTGGGCAACCACCGGTCCTACTGTTTCTATAGTTCTGCCATTTCCAGACAACAGCCATATGCTTTGGATCATATAATAGAGAGCTTTTTCAAGCTGGCTTCTTTCATTTAGTAATATGCACTTCAATTTCCTCCATATCTTTGCATGGCTTGACAGCTCTTCATCACTGAATTCCATTATATGGATGTACCATAATTTGTTTATTCACCTATTGAAGGACTTCTTGGTTGCTCCCAGTTTTCAGAGGTTATAAACGAAGCTGCTAGAAGCCTTCAGTGCAGTCTTTGTGTGGACCTAACTTTTCAATTTAGTTGTATTACAGGATGGTGATTATTCTACTACTTAGCTTTGTGGGAAATGATGAAAGCATTTCCCAAAATGACTGCATTATTTTGCACTCCCACTGGCAATGAATGAGTGAAGGTTCTTGCTCTGCTTCTTTCTTGTTTGCCATTCTAATCATCAGTGTGTTTCAATAGTCTGGATTGTGAATGTCCCCTAAAGGCCTATGTGTCAAAGAGTTGGTCCCCAGCTGGATGCTATTGGGAGATGGTGGAACCTTGAGAAGTAGTGCCTAGTGGGAGGTTTTTAGGTCATGGGGTGGGGGGTGTCTTCAAAAGGGGTAACGGGACACCAGCCCTTCCTGTAGTTTATCCTGGCCTTGAACTCGCTATGTGACCTAAGCAGGCCTTGAACTCACAATTCTGCCTCACCCTCCCAAATGCTGGGATTATAGGCATGCATCACCTGTCCTGACTCAGGTTTTCCTCTTTATAAGTTGATTATCACAGGTATTTTGTTCAGTAATGGAAAGCTGATGACATATGTAGTATTACCTCATGGTCCTAATTTATAGTTCCTTAAAGACAAGCCAAATTGAGCATCTTTCTATATGATTATTTGCCATCTGTATGTCGTCTTTGGTGAAGAATGTGTTCAGATATTTTGCCCACTTTTTAGTTGTTTTCTGAATTGTTAAAATCAAGACTTCCTTGCATACAAATCTTTTTTTTTTTTTTTTTTTTTTTTTTTTTTTTGGAACCAATAATCTTTGCCTGCACCAATGGCATAAG